TGACGTATTTGGCTTTTCTTGAAGAAAAGTTAGACCAACAGCAATCTAGAATGGATGAATTCGCTGTTGGCCTTCATGTCATTACTAGCATTGTCAAGGGGAAAGCCCCTATGCTTGAAAATGATGAAGAGAAAAAAGATAAAGAAAGAAGAGCGGACGTCAAGCCCRAGAAGTTGCTTATTGGTGGAATGAAAAACAGCGACACAACGAAGAAGGAAACGGTAAAAGAAACCAAGAAGAAACCGGAAGAGAAACCGGAAAAGAAACCCAACGGGAATGGTGATGGAAACAGAAATGGAGACGGGAATGGAAACGGGAATGGTGGTCCCAACGGTCTCACTCCCCCTCCTAAGAACAATGCCAAACCCGCAGATCCGACTAAGCCAAAGAAAAAAGAAAAAGTGAAGATGAAATTACCTTTCACTTTTTCTAATAAGAAAGAAGAAAGCCTTCCACTCTGGATCGCAGAGATCCAGACCTATGTTGGGACTGCACCGGTAGAAGAAGAGTCGCAAGTTGCGTTCACCACTTCTTGTATGGGTGGTGAAGTGAAGCAGTGGGTTCTGGCGGAGGCGAATGCCGCAGGGTTTGATGATATAGGTGAGTGGGCGAAGACTATGACCTTGAAGCAGTTCCTTGCAAAGGTCAAGGACCGCTTCTTGGACAAGACCACGGCCGATAAGGCCTTCGACCAACTCACCTCGATAGGACAGAAGTCCTGGTCTTCCGTTGAGTCATTGTCTCGTGAGGTGGACCGCCTGTTGCAGGTTCCTGGTCTTAACCTGCAGGACTCTCAGGTCCTTTATATCTACTCCCGCGCGTGCGCCCGAACCGATACGAGGGCACTTGGTCGCCGAGGCCAAGTCAGGTAAGTATACCTACCGCCAGTTCCGCGACCTTGCATTGCAGCGGGAACAAATGACTTCGCAAGTCAAAGGTTCCTATGCTGCTGCCGTAAAGAATGGAGGAGGAGGTCGAGGAGGCTACGGCAAGCGGGTCATATGACGTCAAAAGCGCCAAGACCACACCCTCGTCGTATTCGACGACGATACAATGGAGAAATGGCCATTCGAGTCCGAGGGTGGTGGTGAGAGCAACAATGACTCCTGAAAGGGGGAGATCACCGCGATGACGGTCCTCCCTTGCAGCGGTCAACAAGGGAGGACCGTCATCGAACACTCGACCGAAGGGAAGACCACGCTCTTTCCCATACCATCCTGGGATTGCGGCCGGCAGACCGTGACTGAAGATGGGACTAACCCGGGAGGTGTGGCAAGATAGAATGGATAATGCGCAGTGCCTCAAATGTGGCACTGCGGGGCATGTCATTGCCTTTTGTCCGTTGATTAGGAATTCAAAAGGGAGCAGCCAGTAGGAATAACATATGTTCCTACAGAGTCGGAGAGTGCGATAACATGCAAGGCGCCTACGATCCCTTTCCACACTCCGACTCCCGTGGCAGAGGATGGAAACCCTTCCGCCCGTCGTTCAGATATCCCCACTCTTGTCTTATGTCTGTCTCTGGACGACTCCCTTGACGAGTTGGGTAGCGAGCTAGTCGCGTTACGCAATTCGTGGGCGAAGAAAGCCAAGTCTAAGGGGGAACT